AATATTTCATTGCAGAAATGATCATTGTTAACACATTTAAAACTTGACAAACCTTGCATTTTATGATGCTGAGGCCAAACAAGATTCAATATGTTGTTATATTTGTAGGCCCTTTAGGGAGTTCAGCATATTAACTAATTAACATCAGGCCCATAGCCTTCTGCTTGTATATGTCTTTACAATTTTTCTTAGACGTACATACATACTTTTGAATATAGACAGTATTGGTAGGTTTAGGGTTTCTTGTTGTTGAGATGCCTGTTTTGGTTCAATGCCATGTTATACATAATGAATAAAAGCCTTCCTTTTGAAATTATCTCTAAAGTCCCTGTAGAAAATTTTGTGCTCTTAAATGCCAAAGAAAATAGTGAAACAAGTAATAGGTGGAATGGAGGTGCTTTGATCTAAAAAATCAGTTTGCGGTACCTTCAATTACTGGCCATCCAAATTATACTTTACAAGCTTTAGAAGCTCATATTTCAATTCAAGTTTTGTGAGGATTTTTTTTTAGGATAAATTACATTTACCACCCTTGAGGTTTTGCCAAATTGCGATTTAAACCTTGATGTTTTACCAAATTAACCTTGAAACTCACAAAAGCATAACAAATGGTCCCCTACCGTTTCTTGATAAACATCTGACCTCTTATCCTTAGTAATGTCAACAAAAATTTCCAATTAAAGTCCCAAAACCATTAGTCCTCTTTATCCTCTTCCTCTTCTTTCTCTGTCTCTCTCTGAAAAAATCATATCAGCAGAAAAAGGTAGTATATTCTATTTGCCGTCATCTATCAATTTCATAATTCATAAAAATTTAAATTATCAAACTAAAATTCTTCTTCTGTAAACAAAGTTTTCAAACATCAAAACTAAAAAATGTAGAACAAAAATTATTCAAATGGAAGCTATTCACCAGCAATTTCATTACCACATTTACCAAACCATTATCAAAGTCTATCAAATCTTACATATTGTCAAGAGAATATAAGTATTCTTGTAGATAATAAATTAGTAAGGGTATTCTTGTAAATAGTTTATTAGGTTTGTACTCCTATAAATACTAGTTGGTCACTCATAATACGGTGACTAGATGTTTTCCTCCCAAAATACCTGTTGTCATGGTATCAGAGCAAAAGTCCTAGGGTTAGGGTTAAACATCTAGCAAAAGTCTTGATACGATACTGTTCATCGCGCACTGTTCACGTGATACTGTTCATCACGCACTGTTCACCCGGTACTATTCACGGCGCACTGTTCATAGCGAATTTTGATTGCTGTTTTGTTTGAAGTGCTATTCGCTATGGTTGAAAGTTTTGCTAATGGGGTTACCACTGATCAAGTTAAATCAAGTTCTTCAGCACATGGGTCCCAGAAAACTGTTACTATATCCGAGGAAGATTATGTTAAATTCTTACAGTACCAAGCTACAAGTCACGCATCTCTTCCCTCTGCTTCTTTAGCACAAAAAGGTAATGACTCATGGATTATTGACTCCGGGGCTACTGATCATATGTCAGTTACCTCTAAAATTTTTTCTAATTTTCAAGAGTCTACTCCCTTTCCTCATGTTACTTTGGCTGATGGATCTACCACTAAAGTTAAAGGACTAGGCACTGTAGAAATTAATCCATCACTTCCGCTGTCTTCTGTTCTTTACGTACCCAATTTGCCATTTAATCTAATGTCTATTAGTAAGCTCACTAAATTTCTACAGTGTACAGTTACTTTTTGTCCTGATTCCGTTGTCATTCAGGATTTGAAGACAAAGAGGACGATTGGTGGAGGGCATGAGCATAATGGTCTTTACTTTCTCAACTTCAATGGTCCGATAGCATGTCCTGCTACTGTTTCTCCTCTTGAAATTCACTGTCGTTTAGGTCATCCGTCTTTACAAAATTTGAAAAAATTGGTTCCTACTTTGAATCAATTATCTTCGTTAGAATGTGAGTCTTGTCAGTTAGGAAAGCATCATCGTGTTTCTTTTGCTCCTAAAGTCAATAAACGTGTTTCTGAACCCTTTTTGTTAGTTCATTCTGATGTTTGGGGTCCTAGTCGAGTCACTTCAAAGTTAGGTTTTAAATATTTTATAGTCTTTGTTGATGATTTTTCCAGAGTTACATGGCTTTATTTAATGAAAGATCGTTCAGAATTATATTCCATTTTTTGTGCATTTGTTACAGAAATAAAGAATCAATTTGGTGTGCCTGTATGTATACTTCGCAGTGATAATGCGAAAGAATATTTTTTCACTCCTTTTAATACCTTTATGACTAAGTCTGGTATTATTCATCAGTTCTCTTGTCCTCACACTCCACAACAGAATGGAGTTGCTGAAAGGAAAATTGGACATTTAATCGAAATTGCTCGAACACTGTTGTTGCACATGAATGTGCCCAAACAATTTTGGAGTGATGCAGTTCTAACTGCATGTTATTTAATTAATCGCATGCCATCTAATATTCTTGAAGGTCAATTACCTCACTCCATTCTTTTTCCTCATGAACCTGTATTTAAATTGCCTCCTCGTATTTTTGGATGTGTGTGCTTTGTTCATCAGCTTGCTCCCGGGGTGGATAAATTAGATTCTCGTGCTATTAAGTGTATTTTCTTAGGATATGCACAAGCGCAAAAAGGGTATAGATGTTACAGTCCAGTTTTAAATCGATTTTTTACTTGTGCTGATGTTACTTTCTTTGAATCCACTCCATATTTTATCAAACAAAGTATGTCTTGTGAGTTAGACCAGTGTCCCTCTTTTTCCTCTCCTGATTTACCAGTCCCTTCCCCTTTATTACCTGAGTTATCTAGTCCACCAGATTCCATAGCTCGATTATCTTGTCCTCATCTTCAAGTTTACTCTCGTCGTTCCATGGTTGAAAAAGTTCCTGATATGTCACGCACTTCACCAATTAACTCTCAATCTTCCAATCCAGGTATGACGCCCTCCTCTGAGTTAGATCTTCCTATTGCTTTACGCAAAGGTAAGAGACATTGTACTTCCCATCCTATTTCTAATTTTGTTTCTTATTCTCGTCTCTCTATATCATATTCTTCTTTTGTTGCTTCCCTTGATTCTATCTCCATTCCTAAGTCTATTACCTATGCTCTTAATCATCCTGGTTGGAGATTAGCTATGCAAGAAGAGATGTCTGCTTTGGAACGAAATGGTACTTGGGATCTTGTCCCTCGTCCTTCAGGTCAGCCTGTTGTTGGTTGTAAATGGGTATACACTATAAAAGTGCAGCCTAATGGTTCTATTGATAGGTTGAAGGCTCGGCTGGTAGCTAGAGGATTTACTCAGGTGTATGGAGTAGATTACTTAGAAACTTTTTCTCCTGTTGCAAAGATTACCTCTGTTCGTCTTCTTATCTCTTTGGCAGCAACTTATAATTGGCCATTACATCAGTTGGATGTGAAAAATGCATTTCTGCATGGAGACTTGAAAGAAGAGGTATATATGGAACAACCTCCTGGATTTGTTGTTCAGGGGGAGAATCCGCGGTTGGTTTGTCGTTTGAAAAAATCCTTATATGGATTGAAACAGTCTCCGAGGGCTTGGTTTGGCCGGTTTAGTAGTGTTGTCATGGAGTTCGGTCTGACAAGATGTGGAGTAGATCACTCTGTATTTTATCGGCATTCTAATACTGGTAAAATTTTATTAGTTGTTTATGTGGATGACATTGTGATTACAGGTGATGATGTTGTAGGGATCCAGAAACTTAAATCCAATCTACAGGCAAACTTTCAGACAAAAAATTTAGGACATCTACAGTATTTTCTGGGTATTGAGGTAGCTCGATCTAAATATGGGATTTATTTATGTCAAAGAAAATATGTACTCGATATGTTGAGTGAAGTTGGGATGTTAGGTTGCCGACCTATGGATACTCCTATGGATCCCAATGTGAAATTAGCAGGAGATCAAGGTGCATTATTTGATGATCCTAAGCAATATCGAAAACTTGTGGGTAAATTAAATTATCTCACTGTAACGAGACCTGACATTTCGTTTGCAGTAGGTGTTGTGAGTCAATTTCTTGATACCCCTCGTACTAGTCATTGGGATACTGTTACATGGATCGATTCTCAGGTATCTTAAGAGTGCTCCTGGAAAAGGGTTGCTGTATCAAAATCATGGACACACTGATATTGAAGGATATAGTGATGCAGATTGGGCTGGTTCTGCCTCAGATCGAAGATCGACTACGGGATATTGTGTGTTTGTTGGTGGTAATTTAGTGTCGTGGAAGAGTAAGAAGCAAACAGTTGTATCCAGATCAAGTGCAGAATCTGAATACCACGCTATGGCTCACACTGTGTGTGAGTTGGTTTGGTTGAAGAGCATGTTACTGGAACTTGGGTTTGAGCATAAACAGCCTATGAATTTAGTGTGTGATAATCAGGCGGCTGTTCATATTGCGTCTAATCCAGTGTTTCATGAAAGGACAAAACATATTGAAGTTGATTGTCATTTCATTCGAGAGAAATTGTTTGACGGGGTCATCAAGACATCTCATGTACCGTCTGTAGATCAATTGGCTGATGTGTTTATCAAGAGTTTAGGGGGCTCTAGGGTGAAATACATTTGTAACAAGTTGGGTACTTATGATATATATGCTCCAACTTGAGGGGGAGTGTCAAGAGAATATAAGTATTCTTGTAGATAATAAATTAGTAAGGGTATTCTTGTAAATAGTTTATTAGGTTTGTACTCCTATAAATACTAGTTGGTCACTCATAATACGGTGACTAGATGTTTTCCTCCCAAGATACCTGTTGTCACATATATAAAACGTCAATTGCTTGTGAACAGTGCCTGGTGGTCCGGTTATATTGTGATTTTTGTGAGCTTGCGGGGTGTTATGGTCTTTTGGTGCTGAATGGCAGTGATTTTGCTGTAAATTCACCGCTCTCCACGTGTTGTTCTCGAACAGGAACAAGCTTAGTGGTGAATTAATGTACAGTGCAAGAACCACCGCTTGAAAGCTCTGCAATCTCCATTACCCTCTCATTCTTTTCTAGCCTTCTTTGCCGGTTGTTTTTTTTTCCCTCATCTCTTCCTATTTAATTGCCTCCTGCACCACGTCTTCCTCCATAATTGAATCTAAGTGTTCTGGAAAGAGTGCAAGAACCACCGCTCGAAAGCTTTGCAATTTCTATTACTTTGTCTCGTTCTTTTCTTAGCCTATTGTACCGGTCATTTTTTTTCCTCGTCATCTTCCTATTTAATTGCCTCCTACACTGCATCTTTCTCCATAATTGACTTTTAAGTGTTCTAGAAAGAGTAGGGAAATTTATGTTAGCCAATTAAGTCTAAGAAGGAGCAAGTGACTTGGTAGGTGTTATTTGCAGGAGCTGGTTAATTTTTGCTGTTTTTGACAGTGGTGCAATTTTATCTGGGGATGTGTTGAAATGGAACAGTGGATTTTAGGATTTTTCATCATTATTTAGGTGTTCTACAGGTGTTCTATGTGAGCTTTACTCTGTTTTGTTGGCTTACGTGAATGGCTTATGTGTAACTAAGAAAGCTCGGCAGCGGATATATGAGGACGAGTTGCTAATTGTGTTGGGTAAATTGAGTTGTAGTCTTTTCTTTTGCTTTTGTTTTTGTGTTTTATGATGCCAACAAGTAACTTGCTAAGACACGACCTGGAGGACATGTGGCAATTCCGTGGCAAAACACTGATAAACTTTGCTTCCCACTCTTCCTCTTCCTCCTCTCTACTGTTTTCTATCTAAAATCCCCTAGCAAATGCAAAACAAGATCTTCAATTCTCCTATGACTGGCAGAGTTTGAAGTACCAACCTCATTAGTTTTGTTTTCCATATACCCATCTTATATCCATCTCCTACACCAAGGGCAATTTGATTTTGCTGATTCAATCCCTTTTTATTTTTCATATACCTATCTTATATCCATTTCCCTCCACCATCATTTCCCTCCACCAAGGCCAATTTGATTTTGTTGATTCAATCCCTTTCTCTGGATCCTATGAGACTTAATGCCCATCAATTTCAGTTTTGGGACTCTCTCCTAATCTCCGGTCCTTTGAACTGATCTTGTGCTAGATATGAGGTATAATTGGTCTTGTATTATTCTGCTATTGTTGATTGTCATTCATGTGTGTTCTTCAATCATGTTGAGGTTTATATAAATTAGAATCTGGCTGGTACTTTGCATGCTGTACTTCGGCTTCTTTCCTTTCAATTCTTATGGAGCCTGAGCATTGGATTAAGTTTTGTTTATCTCATGGATATTTCTGAATTAGGATTGGTTTTTGGTGGCAAATTTGCATTTACTACTCATTACTATTCATTGGTTGCAAATTTTCTACTCATGCAGATTACTACTCATTACAACTCATGACTACTCATTGGTTGCAAATTGGATGTTTGATGTTCGTATATAAGTCATGCTTTCTCTTTTTTAGTTGCTTTACTTTTGTATCATAGTTATGCTTTTGGCTTCTGTATCATTGATCTAAGCTTAGCAATGTTTCTGATGCAAGATAAGTCAAAGATATCGATTGTACTAAGCCATATCTCAAGCATTTGAAGCTTCCCCAATAGATGGTTTCAGGTAATAATTGAATCTTTTTGCTAAATGTGTCTATTGCGATGTTAGATTTGTCTGTTTCAAAGTTCCGTTTCATTTAGTTTAAGTTTATATTGCTGACAAGGATCTTCAGAGAGGCTTGTTATCTCTATGTGATTAAATTGTGTCTTGCTTTATTGAGACTGATGCTATTGCGTGTTATTCCTTTGGGGTATTTCCAATTGATTGAATGTCTCTATGGTGATTATCAGCTCACGTAGTAGTGCTTTAGCAGGAAGTAGTTAAGACTATCTCAGTTTTGGGACTCTCTCAATCTGCTGCATTTCCTCATGTTAATTGGCAAAAAAGGACTAGATAGATCTTGGCAAAATTGAATGATCTGGTAATTTTGAATTCTCTCATAGATCTATTTGCATTTATCTTTGGGTATTTTGTTTCTTTACACATAATCTTCGGGCAAATCTAAGTTGTATAACTGGTATATGTGGAGCTTGTGTCTATTGGCTACGGAAGTGTGTAAAGAGTACTCAAAACAATTACAACTTTAGAAACTTTTGTGAAAAGTCTAAATTAGACAAGGTGATAATTTCACGAATTGTCAACAGATTGATAAAGCATGAGAGAGCTTTGGCGTTGTTAAGTTGGAGGACTGTAGTTTATTAAGATACCACTTTTTCCCCTTTTTCATGCATGATATTGTTTGGAAATGTTCTCCCACATCTGCCATTTTATTAGGTGGCACTTTACCTATTTCTTCTATAAATGTACCTTTTATCCTATGCTCCTATGCCTTTTGATAGAAAATTACATCATTTAAAGATTAAGTCTTGCAATGCCACTTCTGAGGTAGTTCCATCATTTTAACATTCTCTTTGTTTGTATTAAAGCTTTTGAGTCATAGTTAAGATTGTCATTAACTCTATTCATCAATATTTCCGTTCCACATGCACACACATGAACACTACATCTAACGAAGGGAAAAAAAACACACACACACACGCGCGCACATAGACCAGCTAAATAACGAATCTCAGCTACCTAAATTTTGGCAGTCAGCAATTTCGACCTCCTCCTGTCGGTTGAATAATTCTTTCTGCCCTCCAATTTTTCAAACTCATACTCATTATAATAAAATACCAGGTCGTACCTACCTGACGCATAGCGTCAGGGCAGAATACCTAGTTAACCAAGAAACTCCAAATGGAAAGTCAAGAATGAACTGGTGGCCTTGGGTTCAACCCAAAAAGAAAAAAGAACCTCAACTTTAATGCAAACATTAGCATAAAATAGATCAACATTATCAAAACCAAAATTAGGTCGAGAGCACCAACTGATTCCTCTACTGGGATCTTTGATTCCTTATAAATCCAACAACGTAGGTTTTCTGTTTGTATTTTTTTTGGCTTGTACAAGAGAAGATGACAGTGGAGGAGGAAATCCTAGAATTGAGAAAGATGGAGAGAACAAGAAAGGATGATAGGAAAGATGATGGGTATGCCATAAGCCATAGTGACAGCGAAGGATAGTGATGAATGGCAACAGTAGCAGGGTGATGGTGGTATTGGTGACAGTGGCAACCATGGAGAACTATATGTTTTGAGGAAGGTGGTAGTAGTGGAGGCAGACCTTCTTTCCTTCATTTCCTTTATTTTTAGGGCTTGCTTCTGTTGTATTCTTTTACCAATCAGGGGAATGCCTTTTTTGGCTTTCTTTAGCATAATTTTTAATTGTCCTGTTCTTTAATATGTATATTTCTTTTTTTTAATCATTTTCTTTATTACTATAACTCTTTATTCATCTCCTATTTTTTCAAAGAATAAAATATCCGACTTCTATGTTGAGTATAAGGGCAGATTTGTCACTTCAGGTATTTCTGTTTGTGGGTTTAAACAGTTTTACTAAAAGGGGTGTATGTAATATGGTCAAATCTCAGGGTCTGAATTGTAATTTGCCCAAACCTCAAGGGAGGCAAATGTAATTAACCCTCGTTTTTTTACTTTTCCCACAGGCTTGGTCTCCTCCGTGCTTTTTTTTTTTTTTCCCCTTTTTGGGGTGTAAGAATGTGCTGTTGGGTTGCTCAAGCTGAAGTTTATTAGTATAGGTTGTGTGCTTTCTTGGGGGAATAGAAATGAAGAAAAAAGAAGATGGGAGCAAAGCTGCAACCTTCTCCATGCAAGGAGGATTTTTTATTTTATTTTTTTTTTGGGGGGGGGGAGGGAGGGGTTGGGTGGAGGAAGCAGAGAGAGTTTTAATTTTTATCAGAAGTTGAGCTGAGAGCTGGAGGCAAAATGTCCTTTTTAATCAAATCCAGTAGAAGACATCCAAAGAGTAAGACTTTTTACTTCAGAGCAAAGAACCTCCTAGAATATTTACCGATTGTTAACTTGTATTTACCCTCTAAAAGTGCTGTGTTGGAGCTACATATAGCTTTGGTCCAACAAAGATTCAAGTTATTATTAATTACAACAATCAATGTCATGCCTTAATAACAACTATCAACACTATACTCTCTGCTTTGAGCATGAGTCTTCTTCCTTTACGAATTTTAAGTCTTCTTCCTTTATAAACTTTTTCCAAAACCACTGCAGCATCCAGATGAGCCTTGTCATGTTATAAGTTCCAATTTGAGAGGCCTCCGGCACTAAAATGTATACAAAGGAAGTAGTGAAAGCTGCAAAGAAGCCTGTGAACACATAAACAAAGGCCTCGATTGTACAAAACATATGGATTAATGCCACATTCATGATAACCATCATGAAAGGGCCAAGACTCTTCAACCAAGCGTCTGCTAGTGCTCCACCTGGTCCCTCTATTGAGCTCTTGATCCAGCCATATGGGTTGGTTAGCATATTGAAGCCAGCATAGTTCAGAGCTATTGCTCCTATCATAGTATAGGCAACAGGCTTTGTGAAATCGCTGTGTGAATTTGCAAAGAAGTGTAAGACTACCCACAAGGAGATCTGCAACAATTAGAAAAGTACTAATAAACCAAGAAATTATTGCATGTCTATATGGTGAACCCTTGAGTGTAAAATCATAAAAGGAGGATGAATGTCAAATTTTGAATCAAAAGGGGAGAAGGGTAAGAAGTGAAACCTGTGATAATAATGTAAGGAAAGAAGAACCAATGGCCACCCTTCTTCGTCCACATCTCTTGAGTAGAAAGAAAGAAACAAACAGTGTCATGAGGAAACCCCACAATCCAGCCCCGGCTGATGTGATGAATAGGATATGTGAGTTAGAAGAGACTGATGTTGAAGCCAATGGCCCGAAGAACATTAGAGAAGATGCTCCTAACAATTGAGGCACCAGTTCTGCTACTGCCTTGATGATCAAAGTAGCTCTGTTTTGAGGACTTAGCAAATCTTTGACCGCACTTATCTTTTTCTCATCCTCTATGGCTTTTTCAAGCTCAGCAAATTCCTCATCAACAATGGTCTTCCTCGGATCCCTATACTTTGTGAAAACATGTCGAGCAGCTTGCACTTTGTCTTGCTGAATTAGGCATCGTGGACTTTCATCAATAAAAAATGAGATAACTAGCAAGACCACAGCGAGGAAACAGAGGATGCCAAATGGAACTCTCCAGACCCATTTAGGTGAGTAGGATGCAATGAGATAGATCCCCAAGACAACAAAACCACCCAAACTTTGGTATCCATATAAGACACTTAGGTTCTCTTCTGGGGCTAACTCAGAGCATATAATGGGAATGACCTGCAATTGATAAACATAACAAGTTACATTACTGAAATCCAAAAAATCTTCAAACAAATCAAATAATCAATTGTACTCCTCATAATATTATTGTACCTGATTTGTAATGCCGCTACCAAGACCACTCATAATCGAACCCACAATCCCCAAAAATGCAAGTGGAAGCCAAGCAAAGAGACCTGATCCCACTGAAAGCAGTATGAGTCCTATCCTGAGCACTGGCTTCCGCCCCCATCGATTGGATAATACATGTGCTGGCAGCACTGATATCGAAGCACCAAGGGGGATGATTGATGAAATCATTAGAGATTTAAAATCTGCATAAGTGCAGAAATTTGTTCTCTTTGCCATGTTTATCTTTCTTCTGACTTTTGGAAATTTTTTCAAGAAAATTGGTATGCTGAACATACCTCCTGAAAATCAACCGCTTCATATATAAGAAAAGTTGGACATGACACTTATAATCAGGATTGACAACAATCATTAATTCCTAAAAACTTCATATCATGTAAATAATCAAAATGTCAAATTTTTCATAGAAAAGAAGATTCATTAGAGGAATAAGGTGATATATTTATTATGTGTAAACCCAAGGCTTTGTAGTAGATTGTATGGTGATATATTCAACAGAGGAATATGTAAAAATTAAGCTAATTCATTTTCAACCAAAACAATGCTTGTAAGCTAGAGAAAACTCAACGGTAAGTCTAAATTCTTCGATTAATATGTAAAAGTAAGCTATTTCCTTGGCAACCAAAGCAAATTGCTTATAGGATAGGCATGACTCAAAGGAACATTTAAGTCTAGCTTCTTCAAGTTGCTTTCATTTTCTGCTTACTATACAACTAAGCCAGTGGTTTGGTTTTCTTGCTTATGTTAGAAAATAGTTTGAGCGGCAGTTAAAGATGAGATCTTCTTAGAACGACTTAACTTTTTCAGATTTTACATGATGGACAGCCATAAAAGACATAATTTAGATCCTAAAAAGCCTAATGCTAGGTCCTGGTTAAGGACAGAATTGTTAGTGGTTACAAAAGATGATTTCCATTCACTGAGAGAGGAGGGTTTATATGTGTTCAAAAAGAACTGTCCCCAGAATCATGTCAAATTCTCTGCCAATAAGTGGAAAGTGCTCCAAAATCATACGCATGTTGTAAATAATGCAACCCCACTTTGTTCAACTGCGAAGTGAGGAACCATAGTTTTGAATTTTTACTACTCACAGCAAGAGGAAAGATTGGAAAGAAAAGAAAGATGGAGAGAGGGGGAGGCAGGGAGAGGGAAGTGAAGTGGGGTAGAGGAAGAGGGACATGGTGAGAGAGGGAGAGAGAGATGGGGAACAGAGGGAAGGAGAAAGAGGGAGAGAGGGGGAGGAGGAAGGAAAGGGATTAAGGTAGAAAGTGGGAGAGAGAGTGAGTAAAGTGAGAGAAGCTTTGCTAGTTGCTGTTGGTAATTGGAATGGAGTTCCTTTCAGTCCCAAGGTTGTCCGTTGCACCAGAGAATAGGCCTACAGCCATGGGCTTAGCTGAATGGCAACTTCTAACATTACTTTGTATAACTTGACATATTAACTTAACCCATGTAGCCAACAGGTTTCTTTTTCACTTTTCATTAGGTTTTGATAGGCAGGCATTGTTCATACCCTAACTTTAAATTTATTCTTCGAAATGTAAAAGGGCCTTGGGCCCCCTTAGAACCAAAAAACAAATCAATTTTATTCTCTGGGAAGGGTAATGGATCTATGGAAAGGTAGTGAATTTTATGTCTTTTAACTTCTTTTGGCTCCAAATCCAATCAATTTAATCTTCAAATCCCTAATTGCTTTTCTCTTTCAATTCCCCTCTTCTGTCTCGCCCTTTGCTGAATTTCACATCTCTATCTCTCTCTCTGTCCACCATTCCCTCTGTCTGTCTCTATCCTTTTCTTTTTTGTGTAAAATCTGTCTGTCTCTGGTCTCCTTTTGTATTTATGCTGATTTTTTATTATTTACTACTATTGTTTAATTGTTTTGAGTTTGCAGGTGGGCACTTTTGTAGTAGTAGCTGATGTATCTTGAATTCCATATCAGGGAAAGCACAGAACAGATGAAGTCTACATTACTGAGGTACCTTGTCTATCCTCTCTCTTTCTCTTACAAATGAATCATCTCCCTGTATTAGGTTATTTGTTCTTATTTATACCATCTTTTTGTAGATATCTACAGGAAAATAGATGGTAGAAAATTTGTCCAACTGTTAATAGACAGTTTTGTCTTGAGTACTAGGATGTCAATTAGCACAAATCAGTTTTGTGTAGGATATGTAATGGAATAGCTGTAAGATAGCATCATCAATATCATTATCTTGAATTAGTAGCAGCAGCATACTATAAAAATCGACTTGAAAGTAGCATACTACCTCCCACTTTGTTCAACTGTGAAGTTAGAAGTCACAGTTATGAAGCTTATGGTGACAGTTGTAGGTCAACAGGGAGAGGAGAGGGAGATTGGGGTGTTACAGAAGGAGTGAGAGAGAGAGAGAGAGAGAGAGAGAGAGGGAGGGAGTTATAGGGGAAGAAGGGGACAGACGGAGACAAAAGAGAGAGGGAGAGGGAAAAAGGAAGGAGGGAGGGCGGAGAGAGGGGGGAGAGATAGGGAAACTTGAATGCATGCCAAACACATCAAAATCTCATTAGATGATGCAGGGTGCGTTTAGGGCAACTTGTTTGGACACTAGAATGCTATTACTGTGTAAAAATCATTCTCCACTGCATAAATTTCAATGTCTGAAAGAATAGGCAAAGCATCGAGTCAATCTACAATGTTTTCATTTTTGAATCATAAATTAACCTATTGAATAAGGCATCTTTAGTTGGTCCATTTTTATTTCTATGTATGATGTTAGAGAAGCGGTTCTCTAATATGGGCAGATTAATACCATATCTGTATAGATTTATTCAGAGCAAATACTAATGGATAATAGTGTACGTATTGGAAAATTGAAATCAGAAAACGCTTGAAAAGAGTCATGTACTTGCACCAGAGGATAGGCCTATAGCCATGGTCCAGCCCAATCGCAAATTGTAACATATTTGGTCTACTTGACATGTATAGCATAATCGGTGTATCCAACAGACAGTCATCCCTTTTTTTTTGATAAATTTGATTTGGCTCTGATAGGCCGCCATTGTTCATACCCAAACTTTCATTTAATCTTCCAATTTTGTTTTTATTCCCTGGCAAGGGTGAAGGATCTATGCAAACGGAGTGAAGGAACTGAGATGGTTTTATTCCTGAATTGGTGAATTGAATTTGCTTCTAATTTTTTTTTTAATTCAGTCAATTTCATCTTCAAGTCCCCAATTACTTTTTTTTAACCCCTCATCTCATGCCTTATGCTGCAAGTACCACATCTCTTTCTCCACTCTCTCCCTTTCTCCTCTGTCTCTGTTCTCCTTTTATATCTTTGCTGATTTTTGGTTATTTGCTACTTTGTTCAATTATTCTAAGTTTCCAAGAGGGCAAAATTCTTAGCAGTACTAGATTATTTTGAAATCCATATCAGTGGAATTAGGATGAAGTCCACATTGCTAAGCTACCTTCCTTATCCGTCCTCTTAACTCTGTCATGCATATGAATAATCTTCCTGTGTTAGGTTGTATGTTCTCATTGCTAGCATGTTTTTCTAGATATCTACAGAATAATAGATGGTAGAAATTTTCTTCCATCATCAATAAACAATATTTGTTGACAATCTCCATCTACATCAACCTTCTGTCTTGCTATATATTGCATGACGATCGAGCGTCACTAATGCAACTTAATCTACATTTGGTTCCCAAAGCTTCAGACATTAGATGCCAACAAATTGTCAACAGTCTCCTTCTGAGTCTCGGAGTTGGGTTGATCCTCTCAACACCACTGCTAGTGCAATGCACACTAGCCACGTGTTTACATGGGATCAATTATTCAGGGTAGTATGATGATACCTACATTCTTATGCAAAATGCATGTGTGGAATGCTGTGCTCACCTTCAAAGTGGAGGAATGAACAACAACAATGCATCAACCCGATTTTGAGTCAACTTACTCTTGCTAATATATCATACATGCGCACATCTAAATATATAAAAGGGAGAGTTGGGTACTGAATAGTTCCTTTTTGGTCAAGCGGCTATGCTGTAATTGTTGTTGGATGTGGAGGCTATTTTCGTCAATTGTGTGAAATGACTTAGATTAAAACCAAAAGAAAAAAAAGTGGTGGTGGCATGCATAAACTGCATTATTATGATGCATAGATTAGGGAATGGTGCATCACGTGTCTTCACACTCAAGGATCATCACCATCACCTTATCTCTCCAGGAGCAGCGTGTGTATCGCTAAGACCACTTAGATATCTAACAATTATATTATACCATATTATAACATATATATATAATCTATATAATCTAATTATATAAAAGGGAGAGTTGTCCAATGAATATTGCATTTCTTGTCAAGCGGTTATCCCGTAATTCTTGCCAAATGGTTGGCCTTTTTTTGTCAATTGGACTGCTTCATTTGCTTCCAGCTGTTGCTACCTCTTTGTTTGCTACTTTGCCTGTAACTAAATGGAAAGTGACCGTGATTTCGTATCTGCCAGCAGACGCCCATCACGCCCTCCTTTTTCATGATTCATCCCTCTTGGGTTTGGGACTTCCTTTTTGAAATTTGGATTGAACGTAAAATGCTGGATTTTATTGATTTCTTATATTTCTTTAATAGTACTACTTGAAAAGAAGAAGAAAAACAAAATTATTGATTGTCAAAATTCACATGTGCTACTTTACCATCCAATCTAACTTTTACCTTATATGTTGTACATCTTAAAAAGAGACAATTTATGTGATTTAATGTTATTATATACATTTTTATGTAGGCTCTTTAAGTTGGAACGTTGAATTTGGTGATTTTTTTTTTACTTTTTTAAAAAAACTTAAAAGTTAGTCTTGTATTTTTAGTATAAAGTTAATTTTGTGGTTAATTATTTGCTTTTGAAGTTTTTTGTAAATGCACAATTATTGAGGAAACAATTAATAAATTATTGTTGGCTTAACACGAAATAAAATTGCTAAGTGTTCTGTAAATACACATTGAGGAAATAATGAATAAATTATTATTGGCTATAGTGACTTTAAAAAATGGATTTTATTACTGTGACATGAAATAAAATTGTTTGCAGAAAAATGAATGCATATATTGCAAAAACATGAAATAAAATAGTGTTTTGTAAAATTGTTGAATGCAGTGGTTGTTTAGCATGTTCAGCAGTAGCTTTTGACCGCACGATTCCCAAAAATTGAATACCAATTAAAAAGAAGAAAAGAGAGGTCCAACATTGTTATCACAATCAACCAAAATCGGTTAAGGTGTTAAGGGTTTGGACTAAAAATGGTTTCTAATCCTACTACTTTTTAAAACATACAATTATAAAGATATATTAGTCTATATGTCCATATTTACTCTATATAATTATTACAAATTTCTAATGTCCTTGTTTTTATTCTTATTCTCTTCATTCCCTAAAAAACAATAATTAGTTTGTAATTTACTAATAGCCCAGACATCCAATAACAATTGTAGGATAATCACTTGACAAACTCTCACTTTTATATTGTTAGATAGATATCCATATTTAATGTATATATATAATTATTATAAAATTTTTAGCATATTCATTTTTCTTAATGGTGCTAAATTGCTCTAAATTGTAAAGCAATGTTGTATGCTATTTTTTTTATTATTCTTTTAGTCAAGCATGCAACATTAATTAGATTTTTTCTTACATTAAAAAATTAAAATACTGTAAATTTCAAAAACAATGTAATAATACATGGCTCTTAATGTGGATTTAATGATCTAATATTAGTGAGCAATATTTTACAAAAATATGATAGAAAAATAATTGTTGTGATTATATTGATTATAATGTTTTAATTTGTACAAAAAAAGGAAATAAGCTTATATTTATGAAACTTAGTGAGTAATAGATATATACATAAATATAGATGGGTATCTTTATAATTGCCTCACCCAGACCACATAATTTATACAAATCATACCACACAAATGTCGACACTGCATTTTCTCAATTATAGTACTTTATTAACCATTATATTATAAAATATCCTCCATAGTCCATAGTACACAAACTATTAACATTATATTCACCCAACCAATTTACCATACTATTATTTTATAATTCAAGCCAGACTTATAACAATTATATGACTCTCTATATTATAAAAAATATATAATGGCTAAAAATTAAGCAATTTAATACGGAACATATTAGCCCTCCTGCGCATAGCGCAGGCCATCTCACTAGTCTATCTAAATCAGATACTAATTACAATTTACAAAAGAAAACCAGCAAGACAAATTATTATTAAAAAAAGGAAAGTAATTGCATCACATAATAGGCCTATAGCAATGGGCCAGCCCAATGGCAAATTCCAACATAATATGGTCTACTTTACATATTTAGGCATTTAGCTTTATATTAACCTATGTATCCTACTGCAGCCATCGTTCTATTTTTTTTCACTTTTTTTTATTTAATTTGGATTTAACATGTAATCATCATTTATATACCCAAACTTCCGATTATAGTCTCAAGAAATATGCAAAGTGAGCGAAGATACTGACAACAATTTTATTCCTAAATAGGTGGATTGTATTTTTTTTAACCTATCTTGGTAATTTCAATCAGTCAAATATTGAAATCCATAATTTCTTTTGCTTTTGATTTCTCCACTTCTCTCTTGCCCTATGCTGCAATCCTCTCTTTCCCCTTCCCTCTCTCTATTTATCTTTCTCCTATCCTCTGGCTCTATATATTAGGTGGAAGTGGAATCCCTCCCTAATTTTCCCTGTTCTTTTTGGGTTTTGCTAATTTTGGTTATTCACTACTGCAATTGTTCTGAAATGCCTGCCATTCTGAAACTCCATAGCAGCTGGGATGAAGTATACATTATTGAGGTTCTTTTTCTTTGTCATCTCTCTATTCTGAATTAATGGTCTCTCTTTGTTATCTTAGACTTGTTTTTACTATGTTTTTGTTCTGGGTAGAAAATTTTGGATCATCATCATGTATCTAGTTCGTCTTTCCAATTTCTGAAACCTTGTGACCCATTGATTTTAATTTTATGCTAAACTAAACGTTGGTAGTAATAGTCTAGTTAAAAGGATTGTTACCTGAAACATTGAAGGCATAACCTACAGTTATCCCACCCAATAGTGCTAGCAGCTTCAGAATTCGAATTCGATTGATGACATCCTTCCTTTGAACAAATCTGCAATTTTCAAAAGAAAATCATGCTGACTTCATTAGCAAGGAAGTGTGAGTTTTCGCATTAACATGTAACTTTACACAAAATATACTAGATTACCTAGGTGAATGGGTAGGCATAATGTGTTCAGATTGAGTAATAGAGACAGATTCAGCACTGAACCGGACCTCTGCTGTAGACTCGGGCTCAACAGTCCATTCTTCAATCTCTAGCAGGTACCGGGATTGTTTGGGTTGGGGTTTCACTGTAGACCAGGATGAACTAGGCTCCTCTTTGATCTTTTGTGGGGTTGTGGCTTTTTCAACCTGTGTGGTTGGCATAACAACTAAAGAATTTTTAGGGTTCACACATTGGTAGAATAGTTCTTCATTTAACATCTAGTGAAATAATTGATCTCCTTTATACATGAGCCCTATAGACAATTCTACATCCACACAATTAATAGATTTTGATGAAAAGTTTGATAAAGCTCGACTTCCAAGAAATATTTGGTTACAGGGTGCCTAATCATGCTTTCCTAGTGTTGAATATATCTAGATATGTGTGATATATTATACATCAATTATAGGGATTAGATAGCCTGATTATTAGCCTGATTATCCTAGTTTAATTATAGGAAGTAGATAGCTAATTATTCTAACTTGATTTTAGGATCTTGATAGCTTGATTTTAGGATCTAGATTATTTCAATCTTGTATATATATGTCAGTTGTACTACTCACAAAAGAGTGTGAAGGAATGTTATCCCAAAATATCTTCCTCTCTTGCTTCTTCTCTTTCATGGTATCAGAGCAACTGAGAAAAAGAAATTCGTTTTCTAATCATCCCACCCGGTGATTTTACCCGGTGATTTTCTTTAACCCAATATCATTATGTCTACATCCGATACATCTATAACATCTACATCTAAATCCACAACTCCTCTCATGTCCAATCCATCTATTACTGGTTCTACTATTATTACTACCGAAAAACTAAAAGGCAGTAACTACTCTACTTGGGCTGCTGACGTTGAGCTATGGTTTATGGGACAAGGATATAAAGATCATCTTACTACTAAACTTGATGATACTATGACTGATCCATCCAAGTGGGAGCGAATCGATGCTCAATTGTGTAGCATGCTTTGGCAGACCATTGATTCTTCACTAAAGCAAATTTTCCGTCCACATAAGACTTGCTTTAGTGTTTGGGAGCATGCCAAAGCATTACACACTAATGATATATCTCGTGTTTATGTCGTTTGTTCTGATTTGATGAGTCTCATTGCACCTCGAAAACTTGATATGCCTATGAGTTCTTACTTAGGCAGAATTCAAGGGGTCCTTTCCGATTTCAATGAGTTGCTACCCCCTGCTGCAACTCAGCAGGAACAACTCTCTCAGCGAGGTACATTTTTTATGCTTTTGGCTCTCTTTGGATTACCTGCAGAATATTCCACCATTCGTGATCAGATTCTTGCTAGCCCCATAATTCCTACTTTGTCTCAAGCTTTTTCACGGCTGTTACGGCTCCCGGATGAATCAAAATCATCTTCGGAGAATATCGTTGTTGATTCATCAGCTTTGGCATCTCAATCCAACCAAAGAGGAGGTCGTGGACGTGGCCGTGGTCGAGGTGGTTATAATGGTAACAAAAATCGACCCTACTGTGACTATTGTAAAAAGGTTGGCCACACAGAAGATCGGTGTTGGCTCTTGCATGGACGTCTTCCCCAACAAGTGGCGAATATTGTTCAATCCGAACCTTGCGCAAGTTCAGAACCAACTCTCAAGCCCGAGTATGAAGATTTTGTGAAATGGTTTACAGCCAAACAGTCTTCCACACCTACTGCCTCAGTTGTACACACTAGTAATGTTAGAGCATGTGTCTCTCAATCTCCATCTCTTGGCCCATGGGTTTTAGATTCTGCTGCCACAGATCATATATCTGGTAATCCACAACTTTTCTCTTCACTCCATAGTTCTACTTCTCTACCCAATATTACTCTTGCTGATGGCTCACAAACTCAAGCTAAAGGGATTGGCAAGGCTAACCCTCTACCTTCTGTGCCTCTCGATTCTGTTCTTTTTATACCCAATTGTCCTTTTAGTTTAGTATCTGTTCGTCATTTGTGTCGTTCTCTTAACTGCTTAGTTACATTTGATGAGGAATCTGTAATTTTACAGGATCGAGGTACGGGGCGGACGATTGGCACAGGGCGTGAGCCTCAGGGACTTTACCATCTGTCTTTACCAACACCAGTATCTTGTTCTGCCGTAGATGATCCTCTGCTAATCCATAGTCGTTTGGGTCATCCAAGTTTAAATAAGTTTCGAAAGATGGTGCCATTTATTACTATGTCTTCCTTAGAGTGTGCATCATGTCAGCTTGGAAAACACACTCGTAGTCATTTTCCGAAAAGGGCTAATAGTAGAGCTGAATCTCTATTTTCTTTGGTCCACACTGATATTTGGGGACCGAGTCGTGTTATTTCTACTTTAGGTTTTCAGTATTTTGTCACTTTCATTGATGATTATTCTCGTTGTACTTGGGTGTTTCTTATGAAGAATAGATCTGAAGTGTTTTCTATTTTTCAAAGTTTTGTCTCTGAAATTCAAACACAATTTGGTGTTTCCATAAAAATCTTACGTAGTGATAATGCACATGAGTATTTCTCCACCTCTTTCAAGTCCTTTATGGAGTCTAAAGGGATTATTCATCAATCATCATGTTCTCACACCTCACAACAAAACGGGATTGCTGAAAGGAAAAATAGACATTTGGTTGAAACGGCACGTACTTTACTTCTTCATGCAAATGTTCCGTTACGTTTTTGGGGGGATGCCATTCTCACTGCATGTTATTTGATTAATCGCATGCCATCATCTGTCCTTAAGGATCAAGTTCCTTACTCTTTTGTATATCCTAATGCTCCACTATTTTCTATTTCCCCTCGTACATTTGGCTGTACATGTTTTGTACATGATTTCACTCCTAGAAAAGATAAGCTATCTTCACGTGTTGTCAAATGTGTATTTTTGGGGTACTCTCGAACACAAAAAGGGTACAAATGTTTTTCTCCTGATCTTAGACGATACATCATCTCTGCAGATGTTACGTTCTTTGAGTCTACTCCTTTCTTTCAGCTTAACAAGTCTGACCATTCTACAATCACGGAGGATATTCCTGTTTCTACTTATTTTGTTCCTCTTACTCATGACACTGACATTAGTCAGCCTCCTAAAGAGTCCTTACCTTCACCCGCATCACCACCATTGCTCACTTACCAGAGACGCAATGTAAGGAATTGTCCTACTACAGTTCCAGATAATGGTGTTGGAAAATCTGCTGATGTCCCTGATGCCTCACGAACTATTCCAAGTTCGTCACCTACCACGATCTCCTCTCCAGCCAGCCCACCCATTGCTGTCCGCAAAGGTATTCGTTCTACTCGCAATCAATGTCCCAACTATACTTGTCTCAATTATCAGCGCGTGTCTTCATCCTATTATGCCTTTTTGTCCTCTTTGTCGTCCATGTCTGTTCCTAAAACTATAGGTGAGGCTATGTCCCACTCTGGGTGGCGTCAGGCAATGAAAGATGAAATGGCTGCTCTTCACTCCAATTCCACTTGGGAGCTGGTCCCACTCCCACCTGGTAAATCAACTGTTGGTTGTCGTTGGATTTATACTGTTAAAGTTGGTCCGGATGGTCAAATTGATCATCTTAAAGCTCGTCTAGTAGCTAAGGGTTATACTCAAATTTTTGGTCTGGAATACACTGATACCTTTTCTCCAGTGGCCAAGATGTCTTCTGTTCGTCTCATCTTATCTCTTTCTGCTGTTCATCATTGGCCTTTGCACCAATTAGACATCAAGAATGCATTCCTTCATGGTGCATTGCAGGAGGAAGTTTATATGGATCAACCACCTGGTTTTGTTATTCAGGGGAAGTCTAGTGGAATGGTTTGTCGACTAAAACGTGCACTCTATGGTCTCAAACAATCTCCTCGGGCCTGGTTTGGACGCTTTCGTGATGTTGTCCAAAAATATGGCATGATCCGTAGTGAGGCTGATCATTCAGTGTTTTATCGTCATTCTCCATCAAAAGGTAGCATTTATCTTGTCGTTTATGTCGATGATATTATTATCACTAAATTTCCGGTATGAAAAACCCACAGAAAGGTGCGAAAGGTTAAAACAATCAAACCAAAATAATAACAAAGCTGTCAACCTGAGGTTAACAGCTTCATTCTTTTCTTTATTTTTTATGTTTATGATTCAACTTTTCTTTGCTTAATTCTGGTGGATTTTAAAAGTAAAAAGAAATAATAAATAAAGATTTCAAAATTCAGCTAGGTTGTAAGTATGACAGAACCCATAGAACACAAAAAGAAACAATTAAGTTCAAACCAAGATAAAAACAATGGTGCTAACCTGAAGAGGTGTGTCCACGGATGCTCCTGCCATACGAAGGGGTGTGCTATCTTCTAAGCACATCTCAATTTGGCGGTCAATGAAACACAGGAAGAAGATCTCAGAATATAACCCCTGTAGGAATTGGAGCTCCTCTTGAAGCTCTCCCTCTCTCGTCTCCCTCTCTCTCATCTATTTTGTTAAAACAAATAAATACAGAAAAATGTGTAAAACATCTCTTGTACAAACATGCTCCATGATCTCGCTCTCGCTCATCTATTTTTTTCAATTGAGCAGGGAAATGTGTTAGATGAACAAAATTTTGAGGTAATGCAACTAAATTTCTAGTATGAAAAACCCATAGAAAGGTGCTAAAGGTTAAAACAATCAAACCAAAATAAGACCAAAGCTGGCAACCTGAGGTTAACAGCTTCCTTCTTTTCTTTATCTTCTTATTTTTATGATTCAACTTTTCTTTGCTTAATTCGGGTTGATTTTAAAAGGAAAAAGCAATAATAAATAAAGATTTTGAAATTTAGCTAGCTTGTAAGTATGATAGAACCCATAAAACACAGGACAAAACATTTAAGTTCTAACCAAGATAAGAGCAATGGTGCTAACCTGATGAGGTGTGTCCACTGATGCTCCTGTTATACGAAGGGGTGTGCTATCTTCTAGGCATATCTCAATTTGGCGATCAATGAAACACAAGAAGAGGATCTCAGAATATAACTCCTGTAAGAATTGGAACTCCTCTTGAAGCTCTCCCTCTCTCGTCTGAGCATGAAACTCTTCATGAAGATCCTCCGAAATCTCCCTCTCCCTCATCTATTTTGTTAAAACAAATAAATATAGAAAAGTGTGTTAAACTCCTCTTGTACAAAGCTTGCTCTCTCTCATCTATTTTTTTTTTCAATTGAGCAGGGACATGTGTTAGATGAACAAAATTTGGAGGAAATCCAACTAAATTTCTAGTATGAAAAACCCACAGAAAGG